AACTCCCCTAAGCGAACCCTCCGTGTACACCAACCGGTTAAAGCGCCGGACATTGACATTTCGTCCTCTGAATTTCGTAAACAACAGTAACGCCTCGAGAAGGTAGTGAGTAGGAATTCTCTGGCAGTGGTTGTTTGCACGTGGCCATGTGTGAGCATTTCGAAAGGGAGAGCTGAATCTTCCTACCCTCGGTCGTACCAGGGCATTTTGGGGCGAAGATATCATCAGTCAATCGGTTGATATCTAATAAATACTCTTTAATGAATCATTAAGTTAAGAAAATTACTGAATCAGCGAGGAGCTACTTGGAAGTAAATAAAAAGAATTACAATACAAATTAGAAACTGTCATATTTTATGGAAGGATGATTAAATTTTTTTAAATCGATAAAATTTATTACAATATGTACTAGATAAAGGCTTATGATGGGAATCACAAGATTTCTAGTCCAGTGATATATTACTTTCCCTAACAAACCTAATCAATTGACCTAATTTAGTTACATTTAGATCAACCATAGTGATTGATTAAGATAAAAATGTGTCAGTCTACGAGTAGGATATATATTGACGTCATATGTTTAGTTTTCATACAATCGAATAAATACACAATGGTACAACATATAAGTGATTATATAATCAATGAAGCCAGTATCTCAACATAGTGTACGAAATGTTCAGTCACTTAGACGAATGAATACACTGTAACTTAATCTATAGATATTCAAACACTACTAAAAAACCAAATATACACGATCTTAGTTACTACACACTGATCAGTTAACTTAAATATCTCATTCTTGCAGGAAGTCAGTTTTGTCCGAAACAGCTCAGAGATAACATCTCAGACTGTGGAAGCTGCAAGACCCAAGTTCAAATCTCATCAGCACCACAAATTCTTTCAAGATTGTAAGTGAAAGTTACTAACGAGTGCCAACTAGCACAAAGCGTAGGTTTAAAATTTTCTGCCAACTACTTGTAGCCACGTAACAATCATAATTCTAAAATTTGTTAAAATTACTTAAACACTATTTGATAGGTAACGTAGACAACTTTTAAGTAATAGATTTAGTTTATAATACAGTATTGAACATATGAATTTTGACAGTGAAAATATTCAAAATATTAAGATCGAAAGTTCGATTCACATTCTACGTTTACTGATTTGGAATAATCGGTCATTCTTCACAACAACAAAAAACACCTCCGGATTCCAGGACGAGTACTTGTTTTATGTATGTAATCTAACCTTTGAAGTAAATTTCCTTTCATGTTTCCATTTGACGCTTAAGATTCAAAATAATATGTGTGTCTACGAAGGAGCTAGAATGTAAGTATTTAAAGGGTTAAAAGTGTAAGTGTTATATTCTAGCGAAGATTAAATTACGAGTAACTTCTGAGAACTATTAGTGGACTAACATTATCTATATATTCTTCTTGTATAATTATTCAGTAAATAGATCGTGTATAACTATATTCATCTTATTATAAGCTTTATTTTGATCTATGGACTATTATTATACGATTTACTGTTCTTAAGTTATGTTCAGTCTATTATTTACAGTCTCCCACAATCACAACCACTTTTTGGCTTGATCTTTTATAAATATTATTTCTTATTTTATGGTGTAGTGTAGTCTGTTTGACTGGTATATAAACCAAGTATGTTTTGAAATAGATGATTCGCATGGTAGAAGCTGTTATCGGCGTTCTGGACTCAAGTGAACGGGCTAGGCGGACAAAGAATTAATAGGGACTCTAGGCTCCTCATACCAGTCGAACGTCATTGGTTTGGCACAGTGCTATGACTGTATAAGTCGTATTTCGATTGGCGGATAAATCACATGATAACTAACCGGGCCTAAAGTCACAACAGTAAACCTTAATACTACTTCTAAGTAGAACTAAGCTCAATTTGTAGAACTGATGAGTGTGAAATAACACGAAACCCATGTCCAGGATTTATTGTCGATTGCCTTCACATTCAACACCTTACATCTCGACATGGAGTCACTTAGACTAGTGGTCATATTGCTGCTTGATCGATAGAATTATATCAGCAGTAAAGAAGGATGTGATGTCCATGAAACTGGTCACCACTTAGTGACCAATAAATCGTCAACTAACATATATCTTAAAAGGTAATTTAACGGTTTATTAGTAGTATGAACAGGAAGACAAACGTATTGTTCGTTTCTATGATTTTAAATTTCTACCTCTAATCAATCATTTATTATCTAATTTTAAAGAATCAAGTTGTCTACATAGTTGTAACACTTAGAGTACTTCATTATTTAGTCCAAAGAATGAATAAATTTTATTAAAACGTAGATAAAATTTCAATACTGATATATAACCCAATCGGTTTAAGACATGCTAATCAGTTTAACAATTGGTAATTGACGTGGACAGATAAATAAAGAGGCCACGACAAACAACGGAAGCTATTCTTTGGCCGTTATTTCACCCCAACCGTTGTCGCTACCTTGACGTGGTGGTCGGGCTTGAATATCGTGTTCAACCAATCGGATTATACTGGCTGGAACAATCGCTCCTCAAGGTACTACCATGCCAGACAGGTCGGTTGAAGAACGGTAAGACTAGGAGAAGCAAACCCAGGATCCGAAGGCGAAGTCGTACTGCTGACTGTACAGAGGTGTGACAGCAGTAAGGTGTTTCTTTCAGACAACCAGCATGACAGCGATGCTGCCTTCCCACAAGAAGGTGTGGGGTTAGAAGAGGTCGACCCTAAAAATGCACACAGATAATCGTCTCTGGCGGTGAGGTCTCAACAAGTACGGAGCTAACATTAAAATTGCTCACAAAAAGGTCTTGTGTGACCGACCTCGATCAGCCGTCCCTTGGGCGCTGAGTTCACGCTCTTAGGTCACTAAGACCACCTGTAATCCAATTTCGTTTTCAAGTACCTCCAGAAGAACCCTTCTTAGATGTGGGCAACCGGGAAGTGACAACTCCCCTCATACATCTAACAGCACACATGACCACTGACTGACGTCGCTTCATTTAGTTCAAAGCTTGGTAAATAATGACATTTAGTCTTTTCCATAGGTTTTTCTATAAACCATAGGTTTTCGTTCGATGTATGATTCACTGCCAAACTCTTTTCTGTCCAAAACTATTCTAATTTAAATGTAACATTTAATACTCTATTTTTCTACACTAATTCCCAGTTTGGACTTGATTTTATTTTTCTAATTATTTGTACGTCATGGTCATGTTAATCATCTTTTACACAAATCTGAGTCGGGCTTCAGGATAAATCGAGTGGTGTTCCAGATGACTCGTCTTCTCCTTCTGTGTCTTTCTCTCGCTTGTTAACCAACCAGGTGATAGGATAGTTTTCGTCTCTCTGATCAAGGTCGTTGGTCTGCATCCGGATTCCCAAGTTTCTGACCTCAAGCTTAAACCGACTAGCCTCTTGTGTCAAGGCCTTAATCTAGATCTAGACACGTTCTCTCTTGTATATTATTGGGTGTACAGATCAAGGACGGAACAGTAATATAGTGTTGCTAATTCCTACAAATCAAATGAACTTAGTTGTTTATAAGACTGAGAAATTATGAAGAATAATTCTGACAAATCATTTCAACTGATAATCGAAACAAAAAAGTGCGAGAAAATACTTTACAAGTATTTTACATTGAATCTTTATCTAAACTAATCATCCAGTAATCGAAAATCTATGGTAATATGAAAATATGAATGCTATACGAGGTATAGAGAAAGAACAACCGAAAACAGAAACAAACTAAGAATACACTATTTTCTGAAATAAATTTATCTCAAATACAACATGAATGAAGTGTGCTATAGCCTAAAGCTAATGTCGTCACTGTGAGATCGACACTCATGAATTCGGACCTTAGTCACTTCAAGAGAATTTTGAGACTAGACTGAAACGTCTATTTAGTTTCCCGTGATTGTTAGTGATTATCTTACTGAAATCAGTCTGTGATCAATGATGATAGTTAACAGTTATTATAAGTGTGATCTATAAAGTTTGTATATTGAAGAAAATAATATTCCTCATCGGATTCGATACTGAATCACCTAGTTTCATAGACTGAAATTTTTTTAGTAGACTATACTTGATACAAATGACCTCCCATATGGTTAGAATATTGATGAATGAATAGTAACGAATATCATGTTTGTCTAATCCTTTAGTAATGACTAGATTACATTGATTAAATTGAAATGTTACCATTAGTTTGAATGACTGGATACCATGTTTACTACATTGAGGTAATTGATCGATAGAAGGTGAAAAATATTTTTTTTACTTTAGAAAAACATGATATCGATCATTATTCAGTGGTCATTTAAATGTCAACTCTTTTTTGTATAGATTTTGCTCTCAATCTTCTGCATCATTCGCTTCAATAACTCTACATAATAATTGTAGTAAATAATGCAATTAATAAACATTAATTACTGTATATTAATAGAAGGTATTATATATATTCATTTTAATAGTTGAGATCATGAGTCAATTGAAGCTAGACCACTATGGAAGACCTGAGAGCACTGGACACCTGTTTCGTCCTACTGTAGGGTTCCTCAGCAATGCTGATCCACGATCTTTTTGACGGGGGTTTGTTTTCTGAGCTGGATGGTTTGGTCATGGAGCTTTCAACGTTCTTCTGAACGATATCATCAGCACAAACTTCAGCATCCACGATCTCACCTTACGAGATTCGAATTCAGAACCTATCGGTCTCGCGCGCGAACGCTTAACCTATAGACCACTGAACCAGCATCCAATTGTGGTCTAGAGATTAAGCGTTCGCACGCGAGACCGATGGGTTCTGAATTCTAATCTCGCGAGGTGAAATCGTGGATAAGCACTGTCTAGTGCTTTCAGATTTTCCATGATGGTCTAGCATCAACTGACTCATGATCTCTACTATTGAAATGACCACATTCTCCACAAATCCTGTTCTGATATAGACATTATTGATTTACTCATATTTTATAGAAATGATTCCTGTGGATAAACAATATCATCATTATAAAAAACATCCATGTGATTATATTGTACAAACTAATTACATAACAAATAAAACCAATGATTCAATTAATAAATCAATGAATAATTCAATACAAGATAATGCAATTAATTCAACTGGTAAATCTAAATTATTCTCAATGATCAATTTGTCAAATTCTAAGATGTTAAAATCATGTAAAACTGAAAAATTTCGTATAAATTTAATCTTACGATTACGTAGTCTATGGTCACGTTCATCACTGAAATCTCAACGAATTGAATCGAAACATATTCATATGTCTTTTATAAATTATGGTCATAATCATCATCATCATCATCATTATAATCCTCGTCATCATTATTATCATCATCGTCATCATCAGAAGCAAAAGCAGTATCATCATGAAAATCAACAAAATTGTCCATGTCAATCTCAATCTACTTATGATCCATTGAATAATCCATTAAAATTAGAAAGATTAGATACAGGACAAATGATTGACTATTCAAAGCAACCTAATGATAATATACAAATATTATTATCTCGAAAATATCATTCTGAGAGTTGTTTATTTCATCCTTATAATATGCATAATTATATACATAAATGTTCACATATTCATTATCATTATGATTATAATCCATGTTCAAAATCAATTCCTAATCAAATAAGGAATGATATCAATAAATTTTCATGTCAATTATCTAACATAAAATTACAATCATCATATATTAAACATTCTTTAACAACCGGTAATATATGTTGTTTATATACATTGAATTGTGTACCATCACTTGAATGTATAACTCAACCAATATCATCAACAACATCAGAGTTAATGTCATTGTCATCAGCATCATCATCATCATCAACATCAGCGTCAACATCAGCATCAGCATCAACATCAGCATCATCATCATTATCATATCGACAACAACAATTCAATCAAACAGATTATAAATGTTCCAATTTACCAAGTACATCAATTATGTTAAATACAAGAAATAAATGGAAATTAATATCACCATTTGAAAAACTTAAATATCATCCATTCTATAAAGATACACATTGTCATTTAGGTAAATGGATACAACAAACCTTAACAAGTAATGAGATAGATAATAAAGATCAAGATAATAATAATGATAATAACAATATGAATTATGATAATGAATTGGACAATGAAACCATGAATAAGAATCATTCTAATAATAATAATAATAATAATAATAATAATAATAATAATAATCAGTTTATAGATATTACAAATTATTTAAATTATAATAGATTATCGGATGCTTTCAAACATGTACATTTTGCTGATGAATCTACTTATTCATCTTTGACAACATTAAATTCATTATCAAGATCATCATCATTAGGTTCATGCAATTATACTAATGATTCATCATCACCTAAAACATCTTATACATCAAATCAATCTCCTATAGATAGTATAATAATGAATGATAAATATACAGTAAAAAATTCATTGAAACGTACTATATCTAGTCCTAAAATGAATTCAAATAAAAATAAAACACCATTAGTAACAGTGAATTTATTTCATGATGATGGAGAATTATCAGAATTACCTCTACGTGTAGTCGATCGATTGGAAACAGAAAAAGTAAGCTTTTAGTATGTACATAAATGACTTATGCCTGTTATCTCTCATGGGCCCCGAAATATCCTGGTACGGCCGAGAGTGGGAAGAGTTCGCTCTCCCTCTCGAGATGTTCTCACATGGCCACGCGTATATAGCCTCTGCCAGGGAAGTCCTACTCACTGCCTTCTCGTGGTGGGGGTGTTGTTTACGAAACTGAGAGAATGAAACGTTAATGTCCGGCACTTTAAACGGGTTGGTGGATACAGAGAGTCCACCTAGGGGAGTTGGAAAACTCTGATTCCAAACCAATGGTGCACATGGGTTCCAATATCCTCAAGGAACAAATGACGTATAAACCAATTATTAATCTCCTGATTTCGCTCCACTACCTTGTGGATCAGACCTTCAGGTCGAAGGCTCCGGGTGTGTGGAAACCACCTGCTTCGCTTTGCGCACACGGATAGCATCACAGCCTTCAAACATATCAAATGAGATTTGTGTGGCGCATATTTATTTGGTGCCTCCTTTTACCAATATCTATGTGTTAAAATAAAAATAAAAAAATCTCTCATGGAGTAGCATAGGCTGCTCACCAACCTTGTTTACCCAACTCTGTCTTGATCACTTCTTTCTAGTTGGTTCCTGTTGTTATTCATCTTTTTCATATCTGCTTCTAATTGTCAGAGCAATGTGTTTTTTGGCCTTGTTCTTTTCCGCTTCCTATCAGGATTCCAAATAAGCGCTTGTCTCATGAAGCAGTTTGTTAATTTCCTCAATGTGTGTCCTATCCACTTCCATCGTCTTTTTCTAATTTCCTTCTCAGATGAAATTTGGTTTGTTCTCTCCCATAGTAGGTTGGTGCTGATAGTATCTGGTCAACGGACATTCATTATCTTACGTAGAAAACTGTTTATAAATACCTGTGCCTTTTTGATGATGGTGATGGTAGTTCTCGAAATTTCAACTTCGTACAGTAGAATTATGTTGACGTCCTATTGAAGATTGTGAATTTGATATTGGTTGACAGTTGTTTTGAGTTCCATATGTTCTTCAACTGTAGGAATGCTGTCCTTTCTTTGCCAATCCTTGCCTTTACGTCTGCATCCGATCCTCCTTGTTCATTGATAATGCTACACAGATACGTGAAAGCTTCCAGCTCTACCAGAGCTTCTCCCTCAAGTGTGTCTGTGTTGGTGTTCTCCTTGTTGTATTTGAGGACATTGATTTTTCCCTTATGTATGTTGAGGCCTATTGTTGGAGAGGCCGCTGCTATACTGGTTGTCGTCATCTGCATTTGCTCTTGTGTATGTGATAGAATAGCTAGGTCATCTGCGAAGTCCAAATCTTCTCATTGATTCTGAGCTGTCCATTGTATTCTGTGCTTTCCCTCCGATGTGTGGGGTCTCCACAGTCCAGCCAACTACGAGAAGAAAGATAAAGAGAGACAGTGGACAGCCTTATCTGACTTCGGTTCTCACTTGCACCACATCTGTCAGCTGTCCTCCATGCAACATGTGTTACGTATGCCCAACCACCAACTGCCTCGACGTGCGATGTTCAATGGTATAGGAGTAGATTGGGAGAAAGCTAGGGGCGGCCAGACCAAAACATGGCACAAATCCATGAAGTCACTGACAAGTGGACTGAGCCATGTTGTTAGGTGCAGACTATCTGCTTGGGATCCGCGAGACGATAGCAACCGATGGTTAGAGACCTTGGATGACATGGCTCAAAATTGTTTGCAATGGCGCAGGTGCATCCGTTCTTTGTGTTCTTCCGAATTCTAAACTTAATTCTTCAAGTGACTTTTTGTCTCTTTCCAAATTTATTTCACTGAATTATACTCCTTGAATAACATCTTCAAACCCTAATCTTTCCGATTACTGCTTATACTTTTACTACCTCTATCACTATGGGATTTGAATCACAACTGCATCTCTGTGCTAATGTGGTATGGCAACTCGAACTGATGTACGTACGTACGAAGTTCTACTTTGTTACTGACTAAGTATAGTTCGTCATATGAATTCCGTATGATGTGGACTATTTTCTCAGGTACACCATAGTATATATATCCACGATCCGGCCTCGCGAGACTCGAACCCTGGACACATCCAAGATTGTCTTCAGTGAGTTATTATCTCGCAACAGACCCGGTTGAACTCTACTGATCACTGCTTTTCACTACAACTTTAGGAAATACCTCTTGAGGCCAGTCACTAGTGAGCATATGTTGATTAGTCCTAGAAGGGGTTTCTGTGGATAATATAATATATTTCGTAGTTGAATTCATAAATCAATTAAAGCTAGATCATCATAGAAAACCTGTGATTCTTATCAAGCAACTCAAAATACATTGTGTAATATTTTTCATCGTATGTGTTTTTAGTGTAAAATTTGCTACCAAAAATAAAAAATATTTTTGTATTTAAAACAAAAGGGATTAAAGTACATCTCTATATGATGCTACACAATTTGTGTTTAGGTATGTTTGTGTGTGTGTGTCACGTTTTTTTTTTTCATATCAAACGACAATAACTATCGGGAGTTCATATGGTGTTATATGTATTTTCATTGTTTTATTGTATACAATAAACAAACTGAATAACTAAATAAAGACTGTTGAATAGACTACTGAAGTTTCTAAGAAATTTTATCATATTTTTAAGAAATAAAGATTTTTTTCTGGTTAGCGTTTTGTTTAGCGAGTCAGTTTTCGACAAGATGAGGTCGCTAACCCCATGCCCAACCCTCCCCCCTTATCCGGGCTTGGGACCGGCAGTAGCCACAGAGGGGCTCCAGGCGGAGTTAAGAAATTGTTGGGGTATTCAGAAAAATATCCCAAAAATTATCCTATTAAGTCTAATGTTATTCTTGGACTTGAGGTGGTATCATTCTCCTACTGGTCAGTACTTATTTCACGTGTCAAATGTTATTTTCTATTTTATGGTACGATGTGGTCTGCTTGATGAGTATATAAATAGACTATGGTTTAAATATAGCGATTCGTATCTCAGAGGCTGAGACTTACGTTCTGGTCTCAACTGCCTGGGCTAGACAGGGAAGCGGGGCCAATCAGAACTCTAGGCCGTTCTTACGTGTTTACGCGTCTTTGGTCCGATCGATAATACGCTGCCATCTAATCTACAGACACAGTTATGACAGAAATAAAGATATCTAAGAAAAAATATTTTCGTAAGAAATACTTTAGGTACTAAACTAGTACTAATAAGTTGATTTCTAGATGACATTTATTGTTTATTAACCTAAAATAGAATACCATTGAAAACCAAAAAAAAGAAATTGAATGGCTATTTTTTGTTCACACGACCTAATTACTAACAATACCCGACTATGACCACTTTAGGAATCAATCACAGAAAATTTCGGTTTTACACCAAATCGTTAACCACTAAGCCATCAGAACTTCAATTAGTCCTCAAGATCATCCAATATCACTGGTTCAGACTGGTCCGTCCTCCTAAAAAGTCTGAACCTTACCAGCCACAACTTTCTATTAGAACCTTAAGAATTCATTATGAAGTATGCAAAAATTAAGTCACTGTAATAATTTTGTTAGAGTGCTTTTACATAGATAAGTTGGCTTTAGATGTGCGATTTACTAGAGATTGTCTTAGAGATTCTCGTTCCAACTACTGGCCAAGTTATGGATGCACACGTCTGAGGAACCGCGTAACCCGTTGTAACAGCTGTTCTGTCCTCCCTGGTTTTAACGCTACTTCAACTAAAATTACCCCGTGATGAATCCTACCCACAAATTAAGAATAATTTCCACACAAGTAGTCCATCCAAATGAAGAAATATTTTAAATCTAATATTAACAATAGAAGCTGAGAGATTCGATCATAGCAATATGTTCACTATTATTTATTCAACCAAGAGTTTAAATACTTCAAATAATCCATCATGTTTACAATTAAATATATTGAAGGAATTCTACCCTGTTTTACTGTGTTCTATAGTAACAACTCAGTAGAAGTAGTTCATTTTCATTACCAAAATAATTAAAAAACAGGGAGACCTGTTGAAAGTTAAAAACTGATTAACTGAGACTAGTAGTCATATTTCACACTTGATTAGAAACAGTATCGACAATCAGAGACAAGTATGATATTGGCCACTACTTAGTAATCCATTAATACAAAGTTTAAGTTACTTAGTTATTAGTAAACTAACTGCTGGGAAGACCCAGAAAAAGGTCCTGAAAACGTTGAGAAACACTACCCAATTAGCATTGAATAGAGGTCTCTCGGAAACATCTAGAAAGTGAGGAGTCAAGTGTCACATTTCTGAATGGGTGATCACCTATTCTGCTACTATGTTTAATAGGGCTCCAGAACCCTCTACAAACCCAAGGCAGTCTGAAATGCTATAAATAACCTAAAGTTTCTGTACATAAACTAACCTTGGATTAAACTTGAATTAATATTGATTTGGTTATTTATTCTCTGAAGAAGTGGCTTACACTAAGTCACGAAACGTCAGAAAATCTAATTTTTCTACTCATCGGGATATTACAAATATATTATTTATTTATAACAATCTACCCAATGCTCAATCTATTCGAAATTATCAAGTCAAATCTTGACAATGATACATACTTGGAGTGAAGTGTCCTTCCTGTATTTCGCGCCTTTTCTCTCGTGTTCTAGTTGTCGTGTAGAGTTAGCCTGGGGTTATTAGAACAGCTCAGGAAATCGATTTAAGCGTTCACGGCGAGACTATAATTTATGGACGAACCAATCACATATAAGATAACAGGTCTCGAATTTTGGCACGAAATTCACTCATCCATTTGGATAAATAGAGTGTTGGCATTATAGCTGATGTCAGTTCGTGATGAAAACCCTAAATCTAATTTCTAACCTTAATCATCAATTATAAATCATAATTCTAATTTCTCACACAGGTTCATAATTCTCATTTGGTTCTCGTTATTAGGTGGACACTCTCAAGATCAGTCTAGCGTCGCTTAAAAGTCTTACCGGAAAGTGATTAAA